ATGAAGCCTACTTGATCATGGTGGATAAGCTTTTTGATGTGCTGTTGCAATCGGCTTGTCAGTATTTTATTGAAGACTTTTGCATCTATGTTCATCATGGATATTGGCCTGAAGTTTTCTTTTCTTGTTGAGTCTCTGCTGGGTTTTGGAATCAGGATGATGTTGGTCTCATAAGATGATTTGGGAAGAATTCCCTCTTTTTGTATTGTTTAGAATAGTTTCAGAAGGAATGGTACCAGCTCCTCTTTGTATGTCTGGTAGAATTCAGCTGTGAACCCATCTGGTCCTGGGCTTTTTTTGGGTGGTAAGCTCTTAATTGCTGCCTCAACTTCAGACCTTGTTATGGGTCTGTTCAGGGTTTCAGCTTCTTCCTGGTTTAGTCTTGGGAGGAGGCAAGTGTCCAGGAATTTATCCATTTCTTCCAGGTTTATTAGTTTGTGTGCATAGAGTTGTTTGTAATAATCTCTGATGATGGTTTGAATTTCTGTGGAATCTGTGGTGGTATCCCCTTTATTGTTTTTTATTGCATCTATTTGGTTATTCTCTCTTTTCTTTTTTATTAATCTGGCTAGTGGTCTGTCTATTTTGTTGATCTTTTAAAAAACCAGCTCCTGGATTTATTGATTTTTTGAAGGGTTTTTTGTGTCTCTATCTCCTTCAGTTCTGCTCTGATCTTAGCTATTTCTTGTCTTCTGCTAGACTTTGACTTTTTTTGATCTTGCTCCTCTAGCTCTTTCAGTTTTGACAATAGGGTGTCAATTTTTGATCTCTCCTTGCTTCTCATGTGGGCACTTATTGCTATATATTTTCCTCTAGAGACTGCTTTAAATGTGTCCCAGAGATTCTGGTATGTTGTGTCTTCATTCTCGTTGGTTTTGAAAAACATCTTTATTTCTGTCTTCATTTCATTATTTATCCAGTCAACATTCAAGAGCAAGTTGTTCAGTTTCCATGAAGCTGTGTGGTTCTGGGTTAGTTTTTGAATTCTGAGTTCTAACTTGATTGCACTGTGGTCTGAGAGACTGTTTGTTACGATTTCCGTTCTTTTGCATTTGCTAAGGAGTGATTTACTCCCAATTATGTGGTCAATTTTAGAGTAGGTGTGATGTGGTACTGAGAAGAATGTATATTCTGTGGCTTTGGGGTGGAGAGTTCTGTAAATGTCTATTAGGTTTGCTTGGTCCAGGTCTGAGTTCAAGTCCTGGATATCCTTGTTAATTTTCTGTCTGGTTGATCTGTCTAATGTTGACAATGGGGTGTTAAAGTCTCCCACTATTATTGTGTGGGAGTCTAAGTCTCTTTGAAAGTCATCAAGAACTTGCCTTATGTATCTGGGTGCTTCTGTATTGGGTGCGTATATATTTAGGATCGTTAGCTCTTCTTGTTGCATTGATCCTTTTACCATTATGTAATGTCCCTCTTTGTCTCTTATGATCTTTGTTGCTTTAAAGTCTAATTTATCAGAGATGAGAATTGCAACTCCTGCTTTTTTTTGCTCTCCATTTGCTTGGTAAATCTTCCTCCATCCCTTTATTTTGAGCCTTTGTGTATCCTTGCATGTGAGATGGGTTTCCTGGATACAGCACACTGATGGGTTTTGTCTTTTTATCCAGTTTGCCAGTCTGTGTCTTTTGATTGGGGCATTTAGTCCATTTACATTTAGGGTTAATATTGTTATGTGTGAATTTGATACTGCCATTTTGGTGCTAGTTGGGTGTTTTGCCCTTTAGTTGAGCTGGTACTTGTTGTTCCTTTATATGTGTAGAGCCTCTTTCAGGAGCTCTTGTAGAGCTGGCCTGGTGGTGATGAAATCTCTGAGTACTTGCATGTTCCCAAAGGATTTTATTTTTCCTTCACTTATGAAGCTTAGTTTGGCTGGATAGGAGATTCTGGGTTGAAAGTTCTTTTCTTTAAGGATGTTGAATATTGGCCCCCACTCTCTTCTGGCTTGTAGGGTTTCTGCTGAGAGATCTGCTGTGAGTCTGATGGGCTTCCTTTTGTGGGTAACCCGACCTTTCTCTCTGGCTGCCCTTAGTATTTTCTCCTTCATTTCAACCCTGGTGAATCTGACGATTATGTGCCTTGGGGTTGCTCTTCTTGACGAATATATTTGTAGTGCTCTCTGTATTTCCTGGACTTGAATGTTTGCCTGCCTTGCTAGGTTGGGGAAATTTTCCTGGATAATATCCTGAAGAGTATTTTCCAGCTTGGATTCATTCTCTTCGTTGCATTCGGGTACGCCTATCAAACGTAGATTAGGTCTTTTCACATATTCCCACATTTCTTGGAGACTTTGTTCATTCCTTTTTACCCTTTTTTCTCCAGTCTTGCCTTCCCGTTTTATTTCATTGAGTTGATCTTCGACCTCTGATATCCTTTCTTCTGCTTGGTCAATTCGGCTGTTGATACTTGTGCATGCTTCACGAAGTTCTCGTGTTGCATTTTTCAGCTCCATCAATTCACTTATATTCCTTTCTATTTCGTTCATTCTCGTTAGCATTTCATCAAGTCTTTTTTCAAGGTTCTTAGTTTCTTTGCCTTTGGTTAGAACATGTTCTTTAAGTTCACAGAAGTTTCTTACTACCCACCTTCTGAAGTCTGATTCTGTCATTTCATCACACTCGTTCTCCCTCCAACCTTGTTCCCTTGCTGGTGAGGAGTTGTGATCCCTTGGAGGAGGAGAGGTGTTCTGGTTTCGGGTGTTTTCATCCTTTTTGCGCTGGTTTCTTCCCATCTTTAAGGATTTAGCCACCTGTCGACTTTGTAGTTGCTGGCTTTCAGATTGGGTCTCAAATCTTTCAGATTGACGTTCTGTTTGTTGATGATGAGGTTATTTCTGTTTCTTGGTTTTCCTTCCGACAGCCTGGCCCCTCTGATGTAGGTCTGCTGAGGTCCACTCCAGGCCCTGCTTGCCTGGGGTTCACCTGCAGCAGCTGCTGAACAGTAAGGGTTGTTACCAGTTTTCTTCTTCTGCTATCTTTGTCCCAGAAGGATACCCGCCTAGTGTCAATCTGATCTCTCTTTTATGAGGTGTCTCTTTGGATATATAGGGGTCAGGGAGCTGCTTGAGGAGACGGTCTCTTCTTTATAGGAGCTCAAATGGTGAGCTGTGAGCTCTATTGTTGTTCATTCAGAGCTGCTGGGCAGGTACGTTTAGGTCTGCTGCAGCAGAACTCATAAACTGCTTTTGTTCCCAGGTGCTCTGTCCCAGGGATTTAGGGCTTTATTTATGAGTTTCCGTTATGCTGCCACCTTCTTTTTTTTTTCTTTTTTTTCCTTCAGACCTGCTCTGCTCAGCAAGGAGGCAGCCTAGTCACTGTCGGCCTATAGAGGCTTTGCTGAGCTGCTGTGGGCTCCGCCCCGCTGCCGAGTGAACTTCCCTGCAGTCCTGTTTATATGGGTGTAGTTAGAACTGCTTTGGCGATGGTGGCCCGCCTCTGTTGAGGCGTAGTCTCTCTGCTGTGGCGGGTTGCCTTGGCAACGGCGGGCTGCCTCAGCATTGGCTGACTACCTCCGTCCTGGCGGGCTGCCTCGGTAATGGCGGACGCCCCTCCCCCACAGAGCTGGGCCGTCCCGGGTTCAGCTGTGCTTGCTGTGAAAGTCTGAATCCAGGCCAGGTGCGGTGGCTCAAGCCTGTAATCCCAGCACTTTGGGAGGCCGAGGCGGGTGGATCACGAGGTCAAGAGATCGAGACCATCCTGGTCAACATGCTGAAACCCCGTCTCTACTAAAAATACAAAAAATTAGCTGGGCATGGTGGCACGTGCCTGTAATCCCAGCTACTCAGGAGGCTGAGGCAGGAGAATTGCCTGAACCCGGGAGACGGAGGTTGCGGTGAGCCGAGATCGCGCCATTGCACTCCAGCCTGGGTAACAAGAGCGAGACTCTGTCTCAAAAAAAAAAAAAAAAAAAGAAAGTCTGAATCCAGAGTTTCTGGTTGCTGTTCTTTTGTGGGGGTGGGACCAGCCAAGCCTGATCGCCTGGCTCCCTGCCTCAGAGCCTTTTTTAAGTTGGTGTTCCAGTTGCCTGTTGAAGAGGTCGCCAGGGTCTGTTTGTTTTCCCCTGTGGCCACTCACTGCGCTGGCTTAAACAGCGGCACTGAGGTTTGTGGCGCTTTTTTTTTTTTTGCCCTGGAATCTACTGTCCTGGTTCCCTGTTCAGTCACCTTTTTAAACAGATGAATGGGTGACTTCCCGTGGCTCCAATTGCCAGCCAAAAGGGCACCCAGACCGGTGTATTTTGTACGGAGAACCACTGCTCCGGGGCGCCGATAGCCACGCTGGCAGAAACATCCGCGCTGGTGACCTGTGGAGCTTCTCCGCCTGGGAATTTCCTAGTCTATGGGCAATAAAAATGCGGTGTCCACTCACCCTCTGCGCTTTCACTGGGAGCTGCAATCCTGAGCTGTTCCTAAATGGCCATCTTGGATCCTCCTCCCCAAAGTTTGTGTTCTTAGCCCTGCTTCAGGCTCTATCCTGTTGATACCTGGATCTAGCCTGTTGCTGTGGCCTGAGAGCTTTAATAAATGCCCTGAGACATCCTTGGCTCCGACCTGGGAGTGGTCAGATTTTGTGGAAACCAGACTAAAAGACGGTAGCGCTGCATCTTTGGGGCCTGTGATCCGAGAGCTCCATGAACAGCCTGGGTAGGAGGGTCAGTGCCCATATCCATGGCCTGTTCATTAGTATACAACTAGTGCCTAAGGAGCAACTGGCATCCCCCTGGCCAGTAGGACTGTGGCTGGTAGAGGTAAGCCTCGCTTCCTGATGGATGACCGGAACTTCCAGGCTGGGCCTAGTCCATTACTGGTTTTTCCAATTACCAAGGTGCCTCTGAACCTCACTGGGCAGCTGCAGGATGGGCAGTAAATACACAGTCAGCATCTTCTAGGGTAAATGCTGGATGCCACCTCTGAGCATCCAGGTTTAGGCAGGGTCCTCAACAGATGGCAGCTATGGGAAGGGTGCTCTCCTGACCGCCTGCTTGCTGTGTCCCTACAGTCTGCTCAGACACGGGGATGCATGTTTTCTGCCAGAGGAGTGCCCCTGCACTTGGAAGGGGAAGGAGTACTTCCCTGGGGACCAGGTGATGTCTCCTTGCCATACCTGGTAAGTGAGGGCCCCAAGCAGGCTTTGCTTTTTTGCTGGGAGGGGGCATGGATATGGACGCATGATCGAGTGTGTAGTCTAGCATTCCCCTTTCATTATGTTTGTATTCATGTTGTGTGTTTGTGTGTCGTGTGTGGTATAGGGGTTTGGGTACACATGCAAGTATATGCATACAAAGGAATACATGAATGTGTTTGTTCAGTTATGTATATGAATGTGTATATATGCATATTTGTAACCATGACAATTTGTTTACATATTTATATGAACATATGAGTGTGAGTGCAAATCCAAAATGCATACGTGCATATGTGAACATACATGTACATGGATATGTATAAAAAGGCAGACATTCACAAATCTCAATATGTTAGTGAATATATACAATTAGAAATTTGTATATGTAGACAGGTGTGTTTATATATATTTGTGTGCATTAGGATCCATTTAAAATATGTGGACATGTATGTGCAAAGTGTGTGGATAGATGTGTATATTGGTTATACGTATTTGTATTCACATGTGAGTGAAAATATCTGTGTAAGTGTGCACAGTGCTTGCCTGTGCAGAGGTACATTCTTGTGTACGAAAGTACATGTGAGGGTATTTGTTCAGTAATGTAAGTGCGCATACATGGGAGTGTGTGCACCTGGAGTGGATTCTATGGAAACAGACTCCAGGCTAGTTCTGCAAGGCCTGTTCTAGGTCATGCAGTGGTGGGTAGGCAGTGGGTAGACTCAGCTTTCTGATAGAGAGAATGCTGGGGGAGGGGGTGAGAAATGATAAATGTGCCCTGATACTGGAGAGTAATCCCAGTACCTGTTCCAATTTCGAGAACCAGCTAGGGGCAGCCTGACATGAGCAGGAAGCCCCTGGCACTGGTACTCCAGGGCCCAGCAGAAAAGCTCAGAGAGGTTCTAACTCGGAGACCCATCCAGCTAGCTGGAGCATGGCCCCAGTCCCTGTCCCATGCTGGGATTGAAAGCACCCTGTTTCTGTGGCCTGCAGGATGGCCATAGTGTTTCCTTCTGTGTTAGAAGCAGGGTCACAGTCAAGCCCATCTGCTTCAAGGCTGGTTTCCCCAGATACATCCGAGTGTGCTTGGCAGGTCAGAGCCCTGGCTGTTTGACCCCAGAAGTCCCTGGGTGTAATGATAAGACACAGACCTCTGCACAGGCTGCGTGCTTATTTTTTCATGGGATTTTGTGACTGTGGTGAGCCAGAGCTGACGAGGGATGCCAGGCACATGAGGCGAGAGACTGGGGCTGGCTGGCCTGGGTTTGCCCAAGGGTGCTCAGGCCCTGAGACAGAGTCACTTCCATCACTTCACTGGACTCCAGCCCTGGTAGCAGCACCCTCACCCTCAGGCAGAGAGTAGGTAGCTGAGTTACGTTGAAACTTCTCCTGTGTGCGCAATGTGCTCAGAAATCAGATCCAAATCAGAGGTGGTGAGAAGACTGGAGCCAAGGCCAAAGAGCTGGGATAATTTAGGATTTGGAACTCTGACTTGAGAAGGCATCTGCCTTCACAGGAGAGGCTGTGAAGGGTGGGTGTCCTCTCTTCTATAGAAAACTAAGAGATAGGTGGGCAAGTTTTTACTTTTTAACTCAGTTGTGAAAATTCTACCTCCTATTGCATGGACAAACCTTGACATTTGCTCTTGGAGGACCTGCCACTGTGGCCCAGATTCCAGCTGCTCTCCCTGGGGAGGTGGGTCATGCTGGTGCCACTCAAGCATTTCCTGGGATCTGTGTACAGAGCCTGGCTGCCCATCTCTCCCCAGCTCTGTGTTCTGCGTCGCCACTGTTGGCAGCATGGTCAGCCACGGTGGGAGTATTCCCAACACTGCCTTTACGGCTGAGTCATAGGTTGTGTCGGTGGGTGAGTGACTGGATGGATACACAGGCTTAGGAAGCTGTGGAGTCAGTGCATGGCTTAGTGTGTCTGTGGCACGTGACTGGAGAAAGCCTGCTCCTCGTTGCTGTCAGACACGAAGCCTTGACTTCCTCCCCCTTTACTTCCGAAGATTTTGGCGCTGAGCTCTGTGGCTCTTGCCAACCCTACTCCATCCCTAATTGTTGGAGAGCTTAGTATCTGTTTAGAGGTGCTTCTAGTATCTCCCAACATCTCAGTTTCTTCATCTTCTCTTTTCCAAAGACCTTTCTCCATCCTAGTGGAGTGAGGGGTCATCTTGTAGATCTTGTTATTCCTAGCAACTCACCCAGCCCATGCCCCAATGTGTCTCACCTCACCTTCTGCCCTTCTACTCCACTCCCTGTCATACCCTGACTCCCTCAATCCTGCAACCCCACGGGGATTTCTCATCCACAGCCCCTACCACCTCTCTGCTGCCTCTCACCTGCTTGATGTCTCCCTTCCCTTTGCCTCAACCTGTGGTCCAGAACCATAACCACTTCCTTGATGCAGCCCCACTTCTCTTCCTCCTCCTGCTTTGCCCTACTTGTTTGGCAAAACCACAACCGTGGTGACATCCACACCTTTACTTCCTTTGTGTCTGCATTCATGAAGCTGAATGCAACAAGAGGGATGTGCAAAACCCGGCTGCCAGCTCTCATTTAAATTCATGGACTCAGAGCCGTCCAAAAAGGCCCTCAGGGTGATGGGATCTCAGACTATCTCCTGGGTCTGCTTTGCTCTTTCATCCTGCTAGGTAACTATTCCACTCTTTCTCCTCTCTCCTCAAAGCCCTTATGCCTCCTCCCCTCTCATTCTCTTCTGATGATCCTGCTTCCTATTTCCCTGAGGAAACTAAAGCCATGAGAACTTTCCAGGCTCTGTACCCATGGATTCTGCCTGTATAACAGATGGACTAAGTGGCCATGTTCCAATCTAAAGCCAATTCCTTCACTTGTACTCTGGGTCCCATTTCCTCCCTTGCCCACCCAAGGACATCACTGCAGCATCTCTCCCCCTTTTCTCCCGTAGAAACAATTTGACATTCTGTACTGGGTCATCCCTATTGTGTAAAAATATATCGTTTGAAAAGCTTTCAGTCTCCTAGGAACTGCTCCATTCCTCTGCTTGCCTTTTATTGCAAAAGCTCCTGAACACTTTTTCTATATTTGCTGTTTCAAGCTCCTGTTCCTTTAAGCCCTCTTGGTCAGGCATTTTCTCATCATTCCATTGACAGTGTTCCTGCCAAGGTTACCAGTAGCTTCCATGTTGCCATATCCAGCTTTCCTTTCTCAGCCCTCACTTTCTTAGACCTGTGGATGGCATTTGACACAGTTGATCATGTTTCCATCATTCCCTCCTTTTTGATACTTTCATTCATGTGGCTTCTGGGACACCACCACCTCTTGCTTTTCCTCCGACCTCTCTTCCTGCTCCTCCTCAGCTTCCTTCATTGGTTCTTCCTCTTCTCCATCCTCCTCTGTATTTATACTCACTCCCTTGGTGAACTCACCCAGTCTCATGGCTACAAAGCCCATCCGTAAACAGAGGACGACCAGATTTCTACCTGTAGTCCAATCCATGCTTCTCAACTCTAGACTCACACATCCAACTGCATACTTGACATCACCGTATGTGTGTCTAATGGATGTCTCAAACTGAGCGTGTCCAGAACTGCACATCTGATCTTTCCCCTCAAACCTGCTTCTCCTTCAGCCTTCCCCATCTGAGTTGATGAAGACTTCATTCTTCTAGTTACTCAGGCCATAAAAATCTGGAGTCAACCTTGAGTCTTCTCTCTTACTACCTATATCCAGCCAGTTTGCAAACCCCTTTGATTCTACCTTCAAAATACACACAGAATTTGACACTTTCTCACTGTCTCCACTGCTGTTACCCTGCTCCAAGCTGTCACCATCTCTTCCCTGATGTGCTGCAGTAACCTCCCAACTGGTCTTTCTGCTTCCCATTGACCCCCTTGAGCTTAGGCTCAGTGTGGCAGCCAGAGTGGAACATAAATCACATCATGTCATTCCCATGATCAAGTCTTCCAGTGCCTCCCTCCCTCATTCCTAGCAGGCGCTAGCCTTCCTACAGTGGCCTTATTGGACCCATGTCATCTGACCCTCCACGGCCCCTCTGAATTCCTCTTCTACTCTCTTGCCCTTGCACTCTCCATTCTAACCATCTTGTCTCCTGGGTGTTCCCAGGGCCTTTGGAGAGACTGTACCATTTGCCTGGAATACCCACAGAGCTAACTCTGTCACCTCCTTTAACTCTCTACTCACACATGCCCCAACCACCCAATTTAAAATTATAGCCCACTCCACCAGTATTCCCAGTGCCCTGTATCCTGCTCCCCCATAATACTCATTGCCTTCTAACTCACTATAGTACATAGTCGCTCTGCCTTATTATTTTTTGTTTAGTATATATCTTCTGCCTCTAGAGTAAGCATTTCACAGAGGCAGAGTTTTTTTTTTTTTTTTTTTTTTTTCTGTTTTATTCACTGATGTATCTCAAAATTTTGGAATAATGCCTGGGATATGGTAGGCACCTAATAATGTTTGTTGAATGAATGAATAAGTGAATGAACAGACTGGTAAAGGGAGTATGGACTTTGGAGTTAAATAGATCTGTGTTAAACATCAGGTCCATTGTTTATTGGCTGTGTCTCATAGCCCTCTGAGTCCTGGTGTCTCCTGCATGGAATCACAATCCTGCCCTCCAGGCTCCTGTTAGAGGTCGATGATGTTTGTTGACCCCTTAGTGTAGGGACACGGTGTGCATGCATTAAATAGGCAATGGCCCTGTCGTGAGTATTCAGATATGGGGTGGGTGTGTGCGTTTCAGTGTGTGCCAGCGGGGTTCATTCCAGTGCACCCTCCATCCTTGCGCCTCCACCTGCACTGCCTATGGAGACCGGCATTACCGCACGTTTGATGGGCTCCCGTTTGACTTCGTGGGGGCATGCAAAGTGCACCTGGTCAAGGTGAGTTCCAGGATGTGTCTGCCCGGCTGGCTCCATGTGGACCTGTCAGGGCATGCTGGTGCTCTGGACTGCAGTCTGCTGCAGAATTGGGTGGTCGGGGATCTAAGCCCTGAGGTGGGGCTGTCTAGAGACTGGAAGAAGTGCTGAGACACAAACTCAGGGCTGGACGGAGCTCACCAGTCCTGAGATACTGCACTGCCTGTCTGCTCACTGTTATAACCTTGTTCTATTGGGTCCCAATGCTTTTTTTCTGCCTATACTGGCAAGAGCTAATGCTTTCTGAGCTTTTGTTATATACCTAGGAGTCTGTTGAGCCATATTTTGTGGATTATTTCACTTAAATATCACAGCAGCTCTACAAGGTAGAGTTTATGAATCCCATGTTATAGATGTAACAACTCAGGCTAAGGGAAGTTAGGTAACATGCCCAAGTCACACAGCAGTCAGTGGTAGAGCTGGGGTCAAGTTTGACCAAGAAATCTGACTGGAGAGGTGGTGTGCTTAAATGAGTCACAGGTTTTAGTTTTCAGCTCACCTGAAGGAAGAAAACTGGTGATATGGGGGCACAGTGAGGGTGGGATCCCTCCCCCAGGAGGAATGTGCACCGACATGGTGGAGGAGTGTCACAGACACTCCTATCTCTTAATAAGAGTAACACCAATAATAAAAATAACAAATAATACTAATAAAACCTTTTATGGAAGAAATCTTACCTATAGGGCAGGCACTATACTGGGATCTTTCACATAATTGCAGTAGCTCTACAAGATAAAGATTACTGACCTCATTTTATTTAAAGAGTTTTAAAGGTTAATGCATGCTCTTCACCAACATTTAAAATATTATACAAGTGTATATTAAAAACAAATATTCCCCTTCCCACCTCTTCTGTTCCTGTCTCCTGTTGAATAGCCACTCCAAACAGTCAGGGATGAATCCTGCAAGATCATGTTTCCGTGAGACGTGGTCACACACACACACACACACACTCACACACACTTTGTTTAGTTTATATGAATAATATTCTACAATGTGCTTTCTTCATTTACTAGGATACCTTGACTTGATTTTATATAGTCAGTGCATACTTTTTTCTTTTGAACAGCTGTGTAGAATTCTACATAATTAATGTCCTCTAGTTTGTTTTATTTTTTCCCATTGATGGACATTTAGGTTGTTACCAATATTTAAATGCTGCAGTGAATACCTGTGTGGATGTATCCCCAGGTTCTTAGAAGTGGAATTGCTGTATAAAAAGCTATGTGCATTTAGAATACTCAATGCCAGCAAATTGCCCTCCAAAAAGCTTACCCTAGTGTCAAGAATGTATGTGAGACAGTACTCTTCCCCAAACTCTATCAACACAATAATCCCTCATTATATTATTGAATTTATTGAATAATAAATGAATGTATTATTAATACATTAATTTCTCAGCTATTTTGGGGAGTCACTACATGCTAAACACTGCACTAGGCAACCAAAACCAGAACAGCTTCAGGGAACAGAAGTTGCCCAAAGTCACACAGCTCAGCTAATACAAAGTAGAAGTGGATTGAAAGCCACTCGGAAGTGCATGTTCCTCCACCTGTGTGCCTCTCGGCAGGATCTCTTTTCTCTCTTGTTTTATTGGACTCACTTATTTTCTCCTCAGAGCACATCAGATTTCGGCTTCTCTGTGATGGTAGAGAATGTGAACTGCTACAGCTCTGGCATGATCTGCAGGAAATGTATTTCCATCAACGTTGGGAACTCACTCATTGTCTTTGATGATGACTCCGGAAATCCTGTAAGGCTCAGTACCTGTGATGGTTGTGTAGACAATTTACAGGTTACCAGGGGTTGGGGCAGAAGAGGGCTGAGGCCTGGCTTCCTTACCACAGCAGTTTCTCTTGGAGAGCCACTGAGTTAGAAGCCCAGACTGAATTCCTTGGCTGGGGTCAGAAACACAGAGGCCAGTGTCAGGATATGAGGGAGACAGAGGTGTTGGTGAGAACCTGGCTGCAGGCATAGCTGACCTGGGCACTGGGGGGCACTTGGGTACTGAGATACTGACCATCTCTGTCCCTCTAGAGTCCAGAGAGTTTCCTGGATGACAAGCAGGAGGTCCACACGTGGCGAGCAGGATTTTTCACACTGGTGCATTTCCCACGGGAGCACATCACCCTCTTGTGGGACCAGAGAACCACAGTGCACGTCCAGGCTGGGCCTCAGTGGCAGGTACTCATATAAGCAGTGACCCTCATGGGATCCTCTGCCCCTGCCTGGGGTTGAGCCAAGCCCTAGCTGTCCTTGGGTGAGCTGTACCCTCCCTGAGGAGCCGAGAAGAGCATGCCTCTGTCCTCCCCTCCACGCTGCTCCGGGCCTCTTCTCCTCTGGCATTGCCCCATCCTTCTTCAAACTGCGACTTCAGCAGTGGTTTCTGTGTCAATGATAGACCCCTGGGCTCATGGAGACACCTCTGCCTGTGGCTCATCTCCTGGCATGTTTGCATCTGACCATGGTGTCCTCTCTCCTTTCAGGGCCAGCTGGCGGGCCTCTGTGGGAACTTTGACTTAAAAACCATCAATGAGATGAGGACCCCGGAGAACCTGGAGTTGACTAACCCCCAGGAGTTTGGCAGCAGTTGGGCTGCAGTTGAGGTAAGGCCTCTCCAGGCTGGCTCATGCCCCTCACTCAGATGGGCACCATCAGCACTGGACTGGCCCCAGGTCAGAGAAGAGGGATGCTGTTGTGAGGCTTCTCCTGCAATGCTCTCAGACTTTGACTGCATCCCTAGCCCCAGACTCTGTCCTGTGGCCTGAAGATCATGCAGCCTCTTGTCTCACAAATCCAGCTGTCAACCCTACCCTGGACCAAGTGCTGGTAGGGTGGTGGGGAATTGGGAAGGTGATAAAGTCTGTTTCAGGAGAGATGGTCACTCATCACTGATGCCCTCCAGTGCCTGGCACTAGGTCTGGCACAGAGAAGAAACCAAGAGAGACTGAGGTGGTTTGAGGCAATCAGGGAAGTCTTCCTGAAGGAGGTGAGACTGATGCTGGCACTTAAAGTCTGGGCCATGCTTAAATTGATGAATATATCAGAGAGAAGTTCTCTGAGAGGAAGGGCAGCACTAGCAGAGGCAGAAATGAGGAGGCTGCCCCAAAGGACAGTCTTGAGAGATGTCTAACTGAGGCTGCCAAGCTGCGACCTGTGGGGGAAACACTGAGTTGAGAGCAGGAGACCTAGGTTCTTGTCTTGAGTCATCCATTGACTTTCTGGATGACTTTGAGTAAGTCCCATCTCTGCAATCCTCTGTGAAGAGAGGGACTGGGCCAAGAGAAGGATGATGAATAGATTTCACTTCATATGACAACTCTGATTGGCCAAAAGAGGCTGCTGGGGAGCTATGTTGAGAAATATCCAAGATCTGTGTCAAGCTCAGCTGGAAGAAGGACTGTGATCGATTATTTATGTCTGCCATAGGAGCAGCAGTGGACAGTGGTGATATGAGTACTACATATTTGCCTTTCTTAGACTTAGTGATCTTAATGCCCTTCTGGGAAGTACACGGAGATGAGCCTATGTAGACGGGAGTAGGGGGAGCAGTTGGGCATAACTGCTCCAGGTGGGACAAGGCTGTTCCCACAGCCTCTGAAAAGTGTGCCCTAACCCACCCCCATTTTAGAGAAGCTCAGTAGGTGACTAACCCTTGTTGTCCCCACACCCCCATATACATCATATTTCTCTCTTGCTAATCCCATTGGGCATACCATGGAGCTCTCCAGTGAAAATGTAGTCTAAGAAAGGAGATTCAGCAGTCATTGAAAAAATCTGTCTTAGTTATCCACTGCAAAGCAACAATTTTATAAGACTTAGTGGCATTAAATAACACACATATATTATCTCAGTTTCTGTGGGCCGGGAGTCAGGGCATGGCCTGACTTGGTTCTCTGCTTAGTGTCTCACAAGCCTGCAGTCAAGGTGTCAGCCAGGGCTAGGCTCTCACGGAGGCTCCACTGGGGAAGGAGTTGCCTCCCCACTTGCTCACATGGTTGTTGGTCACATTCAGCTCCTTGCAATTGTAGGACTGAGAGCTTTCAATTTTTTTTGGCCAGTTTTTGGCAAGAGACCACACTCAGCTCCAAGAGACCACTGACACTTCCTACCATGTGGGGTACCCCAACAGCCAGTAAGGGAGAGACTCCAGCAAGATGGGCTCTGGGATCTCATGTTGGGAATCATGTAATCACATACACATGGCTACAACCATCCCATCACCTGGGCCCTCTTCTGTTGGTTTGAGGCAAGGCATAGCTCCCTTCCACACTCAAGGGGAGGGGATTTTACAAGGACATGAATATCAGGAGGCAAGCATCATGGCGGCTACCCTAAAATCTGTCTGTCCCGTCAGGCAACAGGCATTCGGCAAGTAGGGAGGTCAACAGGCCTGCCTTTGCCCCTTAGTGCCCAGACACCCTTGATCCTCGGGATACGTGTGTCTTGAATCCTCTCCGAGAACCATTTGCCAAGAAGGAGTGCAGCATCCTGCTCAGTGAGGTGTTTGAGATCTGCCACCCGGTGGTGAGTGGACCCCAGCCTCGGCCCCTCCCAAGCCCCCCTCCACTCTCCTGGGATCCTTTCAGCTCTCAGACTCCCCTATGTCTCAGAAGGGACAGCTCAGATCTACAGGAAAAATCTGCCCAGATCTGCCATTCCCTTGCCTCCAGCCGGCTCAAATGAGTCCGTCCTTTTCCCTAGATGACTAGGCACAGACAGCCAGGCAAACAGAGCTTGTACCCTTTTCAAGCCCATCTTGATCTGGCTCTTCCTTCTTATCACAAGGTTCTAAATAGTGGACCCAAAGCCCTCATGCTGAGGCACCACCTATTGCCTGTTCTGCCTCAGTGCATGCAGAGAAGGCTGGAGCTCAGCATTGCATGGCACCCTGCAGGACCTGAAGGCTGCTGTCAGATTGGCCTTGGCTGTCTCTGGCCCCGGCTGAGCAGTGCAGGCTCTACCCCTGCTCAGCCACTCTCAGCTCCTGGATCAAACAGCCCAGACTCTGGAGAGGAGAGAGCTTGATTCTCAAAAGTGGGCATCTGCCTGGTCCATGGAGTTGTCATTTTCTTGGGAGCTGGCTGTCCTCCCTTCACACCTCATGAGACAGGACAGTTCACCGTGTCCCGTGGTCCCTTCATGTTGGTGCTGGGAGCCTTCAGCTGAAAAGCTGCAGATCTGACATTCGGGATCTGTCCTCTGACATCTGACTTCTGATCTTCTCCAGGTTGATGTCACCTGGTTTTACTCAAACTGCCTGACGGACACATGTGGCTGCAGCCGGGGTGGTGACTGTGAGTGCTTCTGTGCCAGCGTCTCTGCTTATGCCCATCAGTGTTGCCAGCACGGGGTGGCTGTTGACTGGCGAACCCCGCGCCTCTGCCGTGAGTGTCCCAGACAATCACCCGAATGTCCCCTGTGGGCATACCCTGGAGGCATCGGAAGTCTGTCTGGCATTTACTGAGTACTTAGAATGTAGCAAGCACCAACTGCTTTGGGCATGTTATTCGTTGACTTCTTACAACTACCCTTTAAAACAGGGCTATGTATTTCCTATTTTACAGTCGAAGAAACAGCCTAGAGAGAGATCAAGTAACATGCTCAAGGTTAGTGGTGGAGCCAGGGTTCATCCCTAGAGAGTCCAGTGCAAACCTGTGCTCTTAGCCACTTTGCTGGAAGAATCGAGCCTAGACCTAGAGCTGCCACTCGCAAGCTGTGTGACTTCAAACAATTCACCCAGCCTCTCTGGGGTTCCGTTTTCTCGTATGAGAAACAGAAATAGACCTGCCCCACCAGGTTGATTCTGAGGACCAAATGGGATGATGAATGTAGAAATCCTTTGTCAGCTGAGGTTTGCAGGTCCCATGAGGGGCAGCACAAATGATTAGTTTCTTCAGAGCAAGGGTGGTCTGCAAATGCTTTTCACTGCACACTCCTATCAAGTAAAATCATTTCATGTACATACATATGCACACATACATATGTACCCATAGATGTGCATCCATAGTTATACTATTAATGTAAAATACATGAACAGATTTAAGAATAAATATTTAAAAGATGAAAGAAAATATAAAGGAGTCTAAATTAGTCATTGATTATTTTTTATTTATTTCTGCACACCAAAGGATTTTCTTTGTGCAAGCACCTTGCTTTGGGGAGCGATGGCCATAACATAGCCTTGCGCTTTGGGGTCAGACTAAGTTCGAACCCCAGCTCCATCAGTTGGCCTGGGACATATTCCTCACACTCTGAGTCTCTTCATCTGTAATAGAGGAGTGAAGATAACTGCTTCTACCTTGTAGCGTGCTGTGAGGTCTAAACAAGGCAATGCATGTACAACACTTGGCACAGTGCCCTGTGCTAATTTGGGGATTGTTGTCATTTTTTCACGGATAACCAGGTGCTGGCATGTCCTGAGCCCTGGGGCCTCCAGACAAGATGCCCCAAGAAGAAGGTGGAGCCAAAGGACATTTGCAGAGTGTCCACTGTGTGCAGAACTTGTGCCTATGTGCTTCCCTTCATTTAATATTCAAGGCTAGGGGAAGGGGATTGAGGCACTTACCTGCAGTTCAAGGTTTCGGGGGCACAAAAAATGCAGTAAGCAAGATAAATAATATTTTAATGTAATATTTCTTTAAAATAAAAATTACTGCAAAAATACTGTGATGAACAAACTATCCAAGGAGCAATAGTATGAATTTCTCCTTTTGTCTCAGACTCTAGTGGAGCTCAGTGGAACACTGTTAATGATCCTGTCTTTGCTTTTAAATTTTGATATTTTCATCATGAATTTTTTGAATTAATTTTGATGTCCTAAAAATATTGCATTAAATAGTATTTATCTTGATTGCTGAGATTTTTGGTAGCCCCTTAAATTTCACATCCGAGTTGAACAGGCTGCCTTACCCTGGTCCAGGCCCTGGCCGGTCTGTGGGGCAGATGCTAGTAGTGGTCCCACTTTAGAGGAAGGCACTAAGTTTCACTGACATTCAGTAACTTGGTCCAGTATGCACAGTTGATGAGTGAGGGAAGTGAGATTTGAACTCAGGTCTGACTCTAGAGAGCTGGCTTTTTAATGACTCTTCTTGACTACCTCCCCTTGACTGGGTACATCCTGGAAGCCAGAAACTTGGCGATTTTCTAATTTTCTTGTTCAGCCTTCCGAGTCTGCAGATGGAGGGAGAGGCAGGCACGAGCCTGTAGCCATGCGGCGGGCCTGCCTCCTGACTCCTTATGCTCTTTCTGGAGGGTAACCCCAGATGCATTGACCTTGTGGTCTGGAGTGTGGAGTGAGTTGGCGGCTCTCTTCAGATCATGCCTACGTGTGAAGCATGCTGCTTCTAAGCTTTATCCTAGGTCCATCGCCTGGCTCCTCATGGCTTTGCTGCTGGCTTTAGGGATCTCCTGTGAGTTCCCAGACACACCCCAGTGAACTGAGGAGTCTACGCCCCAGGGGCCAGGGGAACAGGCTGTGGTGCTGATGCTGACCACTAGAGGGCGCGCTGAGCTCATGCTTACAGGAGATTGTCACGGCTTGGCTGGTGGAAGCAGCGCTGTAGTGCAAGTGGCTTGAAAAAACTGGGGGTGCTGCGGGCTCCTGGTCCCCTTCCCACCCAAGTCTCTTGGAAGACCAACCTCCATCTTGTGCTTACCTTCCTCTGGGGGCCTTCCGCAGCATTTCCGAATGAAACTCCACTCCTTGGTTCTAATCTTGCTCTTTGGCACCACACAAAATACACCCACTTCTTTCCAACATTCATTCATTTGTTTGTTTATTTACTTGACTCATTGCTGAGGTGCCTGCTGTGGGCCAGTCTTTGAGACTTGTGCTGTCTGCCCATAGAGGAGCCATTTTATCTCCCCTACTTAAGATATCTGCATCCATGACCATCCCCGAATCTTGGCATGTGCAAGGCAGGCCAGGCCCAGCACTGGGGGATGAAGGGAGGCTGGGGTGCTGGGGGCCTTGGCTCTGTCTGTCTGTTCCAGGCTGTGGGCTGGCTCTCAGGAAGTCTCTGTTCTCTCTCTTTCAGCGTATGACTGTGACTTCTTTAACAAAGGTAAGTCCCTCCTTCCCATGTGGAGCCTCAGAGGCCCAGGCACTGCCAGCTACGCCCTGATGCCACACAGCATTAGCCATCTCGTGGCACTGCTTGCCCTGGAAAAGCCATGACCCAAGCTGGGAGGGCCCCATCATGCAGAGAGAGCCCCGACAGTGCAGGACCCGGGGATATCCTATGCCTCTGTCCTCAGCGTTCCTGCATCCCCTGGCAGGGCCCAGGCAGGCTGGCTCCTGGGGACCGCTCGGCCTGGCAGCCCCACCAGGAAGGAAAAAAAACCCTTTCACACCAACGCACTGGCTCCTCCGCCTTCATAAGCTAGCTCATCAGGCCCGCAGAACGTCACCTTGGGTTCCCTGAAGATTTGCTTTTGGCAAAAGCAGACACGAACTGCCCTTTCTGAGGGTGGGTGGGACAAGACATGTGGCCTGCCACATTCATCTTCAAACTCAGCCAAGGTTGCAGGGCACTGGGAGATGCTCTGAAATCTAGATTAACAAGGGTGAAAACACAGGTCATAACCAAAGACCCAGTGGAAGTTAATGTCCAGTTTAGAGCCAATTCATCAATTTAATCACTGGGGTTGGGTGGGTGGGTGGAGAAGGGCTGCCCAGGAGTAGTTTTTTTGCATGGAGCTTCATCCATTTGGGCCAGGATCAGACCGTGGCGGAGTGAGATGCTCATCTTTTCCTCAATGCTGCTGGCCTTTGACTTCCAATGCCCGACCCTCCCGGGAACTGTGCTGCCAGGAGCAGGCCTTTGTGGGCAGAGACGCAGGGCTTTGTCCTCAGTTGCCTGCATTATCAGACTTGGCTTGAGAAACCTCACCCTGGCAAGAGCATAATGGGTGAAGTGGAAGAGAACGACTGGAGACAGGGTACCATCTGGGGGCCTGTGAGATGAGGGCTGGATGAGAGTGTAGATGAGCCTTCAGGGGACTGCAGTTCTGCCAAAACGCTAGGCCCCAGGGGCTTTTGACAGTGCCACACCTTCAGCCCCTAAAGGAATGAGCCTGCATTGGGGGAACTGCGGTCCCTGGGACAGACAGGATCTGTCTGACATCAGGCAAGACATTTCAGCAAGACGGTGCTGCTCCGTTTTCGCTCTTTCATGGCATTTTGGGTGGCAGTAACTGGCAAAGGACAAGCTGTTTCTAGCATCCTCCACCTACCCACCCACCCACTCACCCATCCTTGCTCCGTTCTTCTACTAGCATTTCCTCTGGTCCAGGCTGGCTGGGTGCTGGGAGGTCAGTGGTCCATGAGTCCTGCCACAGCAGCGTGTGGAGCGGGCTGACACTGACTCTCTAGCACCCATTGCGCTCCTAACTCCGCGTTCAGTTGGTAGTTTCCAGTCGACCCCTGGTGGGAGTGTTTACACCATGGAAACCCACAAGCCCTAGAAACCACTTTTTATTTTTTGAGAGCCGGATGTTAACCATTGGTCCTCACAGCACTGCCCGCCTCCCGTCTAGTGGGGGTGACGGATGTGGACCACCCATCCAGGTCCTCATCAGAAGAGTGGTGACTGGTGTGTGCCATGCTCCACAGGCTGGTGGGGTGCAGAGGAGCGAGGACAACATTTGCAGGAGGGGGTGCAGGGAGAGCTTCACAAGGAGGTGACATTTGAGCTGGGCCCCAGAGGTTGAGTAGGCGTTTGCCAGGCACACAACGGGGAGGACTACTCTGAGTGGGTGGAACCGTGTGATGGGACGTGAGCTGGGAAATAGCACCATTGCTCCTCCCAGGAAGAGCAGGAGAAGTTCAGCGTGGCAGGAGACAGGGCGTGGGGGCACTGGGGGCTCAGGGCAGGGACTGAGGGCTGAAGGGCTCCTGAATTCTAGCTGGGCTCTTCAGAGTCTGTCCTGAGGGCCATGGAGAGCCATTGCTGCACCCCAGCAGGGGACATGGCTGGGAAGGCAGCTCAGCAGCCGTAGGGAGGAGGCCTTGGAGGGCAGGGGCACAGCAGAGGCAGGGAGACCCTGACAAAGTGATCATCCAGGAAACCCGTGCTCCTTGCCAACCTATACTCACAACCGCAGGAATTCTAAAGACTCAAAAGTGACACGTGTTTGAAATAATTAGATAAACACTAACATGTCTATCGTCCCTCAGGCCTGGGGTGGGCAGAGAGCAGGTCTGATGTCTTCTTCCAGAGGTGGCTGTGATGGTGAAGTGTCAGGCGGTGGGGAGACACGGGGGGCCCAGGCGCTCCTTGTGGATGGCCTTCTCCCCGGCTCCCTGTGAGTGATTCAGGCACTGTGCAGAGGGTCTATTCCTTTCGGGGCTGGCAGCCTGGGATCCCGTCCCTTCCTTCTCAGGGTCATCAAGGTCTCTGGGACCTGGGATGAAGGAAGCCATCAAGAGTTCCTCCTTCATAGCCTCCCCTCCCACCGCACTGCTGCCAAGGGGTGGGGCAGGAGGTAGGGGTGGCGGGCAGGCCAGGGAGGCCAGGCTGCTGATGGGCTCCTTCTCTCCAGTGCTAGGTAAGGGCCCCTACCAGCTGTCCAGCTTGGCAGCCGCTGGTGCCCTAGTGGCCATGAAGGCAGTGGGCGATGACATAGTCCTAGTGAGGACGGAGGATGTGGCGCCAGGGGACATTGTGAGCTTCCTGCTGACAGCTGCTCTGTACAAGCCCAAGGCCCATGGTAAGGCCCACCCCAGTCCCACTTCAGCTCTTCTGGGAGGGAGGAGGGTGCTGGAGGAGGGGAGGGTACTGAGGCGGTAAGTATCTGTAGTGGCCAGAGAAATGGGAGCTCCAGCAAGTGGCCCTTTCCCAGTTGAGATGGTGCTTCAGGGTCAGCTTCTTATCTGCTGCAGAAACACTCTCCACCTGCTCCCCTAAACACCATGCGTCCAAGGCACAGGCGTGTCTCTATACCTTGCTGTATGCAATAGCTGCGTTCCAGAAAAGCAAGTGGCAGCTCTCCCTCTTCATGCTCCTCCTCCTCCTTCCTGTCTTCCTCTCTCACCCTCCCTCCCTCTCTCCATTCTTCCTCTCCTTCCTTTCTCCCTCCATCTCTCTTCTTGCCTCCCTTCTTTTCACTGAGCCCTAATCCCATGCCAAGCACAGAGCTGGGTACTGGGAAATCAGGGATACAAGAGACACAGTCCCGCCCATCAGAAGTCCACAGTCCCATCCGGGGAGACAAACAGGCCCAAAGGCAGTCACAGCACCTATGAGAACACTGGGGAGGGCCCCCACTCAGTCTTAGAGTCAGGAGAGGCTTCTTAAAATAGGGGATGTTCCCTTGAGGGTGAGAAGGAGTCAGCAAGGAGAACTTACTTACTTGGTAAGCTAAGCTCAGGAGTTGGGACTTTATCCTGAGGGCAGTGGGGAGCCATGGAAGAGCTTTGAGGAGGGGAGGAACATCCTGGCTCCTGCCCAGCCCCAGGCACTGCCAACACCCCCAGCTATGGGTGATGTCCATGGTGGTGTGAGCCTGGGGGAAGTAGGTGGTACTTGGCAGAATCGAGTTGCCACAAGAGGAGGCCTGGGAGTGAGGAGCCAGCCTGCCCCGCACATCCAATGCAATGCAGCCCCATCAGGGCAGCTGCCTCTGTTGTATTCACTGCTGGATCCTGGGTGTTTAGAATAGCGCCTGGCACATTGAGGGCACTCAAACGTGTTTGTGGGAGGAGGGAAGAATGAAAAGAGGGGTACAAGGGGGAGGGAAGGAGATAGTTCAGCTACTTTCCTGAGTCTCAGCAGTTGGGTCTCTAAGCGTCTGCTCGCCCTCAGGTGGGGATGGTGTGAGCAGAGGGGCAGCCAGCAGGCAGGGCCCTGCTGGTCTGCACGTGTGCTGCTGTCTGAAGTCATTGAGAGAGCAGATGTGTGCCAGGATGCTGTCCTGAAGCCCACCCAGTCTGGACCTCTCCCTGCACTGACTCTCCCCATGTGGCTTTCTGCAGACCCAGATGTGGTGTCCCTGGAGGCAGCAGACAGACCCAACTTCTTCCTGCACGTCACAGCCAACGGGTCTCTGGAGCTGGCTAAGTGGCAGGGCCGCGACGCCTTCCAACAGCGTGCCTCCTTCTCGCTGCACCGGGGGATGTGGCAGGCAGGCCTGGTGGCCCTGGAGTCCCTGGCCAAGCCCGGCTCCTTCCTCTATGCGTCGGGCCTGGTGCTGTCCCTGCGGCTGTATGAGCACACGGAGGTGTTCCGCCGGGGCACCCTCTTCCGCCTTCTGGGTAGGTGACCTCTGCCATTGCTCTAGGCCCCTTGGCCCTCTCAGCCCACTGCTCTCCCTGCCCTTTCCCCACCTCACCCTTCCAATTGACCCCAAGAGGCAGAATCCTCCTCCTGGCACAGGGGGCCACACGGTGCCACCCTGAGTTGAGAGGTGGCCCAGCCTTCACATTGACGGCCTAGGGAGTCATGAGCAGTGTGGCTTGGGGTCCAGTCAATTTCCCGAGTCCTGCCAACTGCCACAGGCCAATTACACGGTCTGAAAACACAGTAGCCTTTGTGGAAGTGGGGGAGACATGATCCTGGCTGCAGTGTGCGTGGCTGCTGGCTGTTTTCTTGCTGATGGGGTCACATGCCTGCCCCATGAGTTCAAACTGCTACATGGGACACAGGTCTGGGGACCAGCAGCCTCATCTCTCGATGGAAGGCTCAAGCCTGTGGACAGGAATGGGGCAACTCCCCGACCTTCCACCAAGGCCAAGAGGGGGTATTTGTGTCTGTGGACGGATCCACTTGCATATACACACATGTAAATGTGTCTCTTCAGCCAGCCTCTTCATTTCATCACCCACCACACCCAAGCCAGGGCTGGGTGAGCTCGTTCTTCCATTCCGCGGCCAGTTATCGAGTCCTCCCTGGAACTTGACATGGGACAGATTTATCACTGGCCATGATGACCAGACTCGCTAATGATAGGAATACCTGTATCCCTCTCCAGAAGACCCTAGGGCAGAATGGCATGAGCCCAGGCTTTGAAACTGGACAGCCTTGGGTTCGAATCCTGACCCTGGTCTTAGACACTTAGAGGAGAGCCCCCATCTTGACTCGGTTTCTTCATCTGTGAAATGGGGATGTTTGTCTTGGGAGTGTGCTATGAGGACTGGCTGTGTCTCCCAGGCTTTGCCCTTGGCCTGGCACATAGTAGGTCCTCCCCAGCTGTAAGTTCTGCTCTCTAGGCTTTTGGAAAAGCAGGTTCCTTCATAGCTGGCAGCAGTGTACGGATTAGGATGTCTGGAGGGGCTGCCAGGGTGGGGCTGCTCCCTGGAGCCTGCCTCGGAGCCTGCCCACACCTCCCTGCCCAGCTGTGTGTCTAGAACTGGCCACTCGTGCCGAGGTAGTCTGGTGTCTACTTGTCTGCCTCCAAGCCCCCCATAGGCTGCAGACTATTCCCTCATTTATCAAGGTGCCTGCCACAGGGCCTCTTTTGAGAACATCTTCCCTGAAAACCTTTCATTTTCCCAGCATCATCTGTGCCTGGGTTTCCTTCTCTCTAAAGTAGGGGTGATACTAGCGCCTGCTTCGTAGGACATTGGTAAGGCTGAATGAGAAAATACATGTAAAATGTTTCAGGTAGCCCCCGGTGCTGTTTAAGAGCTAGCCCCAGCCACCTGGAGCAGTGAGGGTGGTGCTCACACGACCTGCACCCGTTCTTTCCTTAGGCCCTGAGAGGCTCTTCAGGGTGTCCTCTGGGAACAGAGAGGGCTGAGCCTGGGGAAGAATACCTCCCTTGTCTCTGTGGGGCCAGGTGCCCAGGAAGGCCTTGGGCTAGAGGGGAGGGATCTCCCAACGTCTCCCTCACCCTGCAAAGGAGAGCCTCTTGCCTCCGTAGAGGTCTGCAATGGCCCTGCTAGAGGGAGGGTGAGGAGGTTACTGTGTCCCAGGGTACACAGCAAGCCTAAGCACCAGGGTCCCAGAGGGGCAGGGTGGGTGGCAGGGTAGCCCAAGGAAGAGATGGGGGTTCCAGGCCCCTTCTTTGGCCATCCATCGAAGCCTCGGCCGGAGCTTCCCTGTCCTCGGTCCTGCATTTAGCTCCCAGAGCCCTATCCCCAGGGTCGCCCAGGCACTCACCCCAACCACCACGAACGCAGTTTTCTCCTTAGCGTGGTGTTTTCCCCCTTCACTTTCCCTGAATGGGTCCATTTGTCCCCTCCACAGGATGGGGGGACAGGGCTGAGCTCTGGGACTCCTGTGTCTGCACCTGCCCCCGAGTTGCTGCCCCATCTTGCTTTTTAGATGCCAAGCCCTCGGGGGCTGCCTACCCCATCTGTGAGTGGCGCTACGATGCCTGTGCCAGCCCCTGCTTCCAAACCTGCAGGGACCCACGGGCAGTCAGCTGCCGGGACGTACCCAGGTGAGGCGTCAGGGACTGTGGGAGTCAAGGTGTGTGCGCCAGTGTGTGTGTGCACTCACATACATTTGTGTATGAATGTTTCGTATGTTGAGTGTATGGGGATGTGTGTACCAGGGTGACTGTGTCTTTCTATATGTGCACATGTGTGAGCATATGTGAGTCTCTATTTGTGCATGATGTGCATGCAGCAGAGCCTCATGTGTGTTTGTGAGCAAGGTGTTACAACTGTGCATTCGCTGTACACAGCTGCATGAATGCAGGTGTTGTGTGCAGCTGTGTGTGTGTGTGAGGGCATATACACTGATGTTTGTGGCAGCTTCTGTGGATGTGTACGTATGAATGTGTAAAAATTTTGGACTTCCACAGGGTTGGAGGGGGTATGTTGGGCCACATGAGAATGCGTCCAGGCAGACACATGTGAACATGTTCACAAGTGTGTGTGCACAAATGCACCTTGCTTGTGTGTGTGTTTCCCTCTCGGTCTGAGGGGTAGGAGTGTGTAGAGTGTGCCGCCTACATATTTGGGTGTGTGTGCGCCTGTACACATGTGACAGCATCGCTACGGAGGGTCGTGTGTCTGTACACATAATAAGCACGTGTGCACACACACGTGTGTCATAAGAAAGGATAAGGCCTGTGCTCAATCAAGGGAAAAGGAGGCGGCCTTCCCTGTATTTCAGGCCACTAACTTGCTTTCTGCTCTGTCCTCAGGGTAGAAGGCTGTGTCCCTGTGTGCCCCACTCCCAAGGTCCTGGATGAAGTCACACAGAGATGTGTCTACTTGGAGGATTGTAAGTGGCTGGGACTTCTCGTCCCCCCCTTGGGTTTCCTCTAAGTCCCTAGGGTCACATTAAATAGTCATGCCCCAAAGCTCCCAGGTCCCAGAGAAGCAAGATCAGCACAGGGACCTCTGGAAAGAGTCACAGGCACCAGAGGCACAGGCTTCATCTGGTCTATTTGCCTCATTTCACAGAGAGGGAAAATGAGGCCCAGAGTGGGGTCACATGGTGAGAAGGTGGTGCAGTCAGGCTTAGATCTGAGGTCTCCTGGCTCTGAGGTCAGGGACTGAGGTCTGGGGCAGAGTCCTGACCTGCTGACTTCTCCTGGCCATCAGAAGCTGCCCTCACCCCATCCCCAAGGGTGCCAGTCCTCAATCCCCACCCTATAGCCCTGAACAGCAATGACCCCCACCTTTGAGTGGCAGTCACCCTACCTTCTGAGCCTCTTCTCTTGTCCCCATAGGCGTGGAGCCAGCAGTTTGGATTCCCACAGAGGCCCTTGGCAATGAGACCCTCCCTCCCAGTCAAGGGCTGCCCGCTTCTGGTGATGAGGAGCCGCAGCTGCCACAGGAAAGCCCCAGGACCCCCACCCACAGGCCGGCCCTCACCCCAGCCGCCCCGCTCACCACAGCCCTGAACCCACCAGTGGAAGCCACTGAGGAGCTAGTGGGGTCTCCAGGTGCCACCCAGTCCACTCTGCAGCAGCCTCTGGGGCTCACTGCATCTCAACTCCCTGCCCACCCCACAGAAGCCCCAGCCAGCAAGGGAGTGACTGCCAGCCTCCTGGCCATCCCCCGCATCCCAGAGTCCTCATCCCTACCCACTGCACTGCAGACACCCACACCTGGCATGGTGTTGGGTGCCATGGAGACGACAAGGGTGACTGTGATCTTTGCAGAAAGCCCCAACATCACAGTCTCCTCCCGGTCGCCCCCTGCCCCTCGATTCCCGCTCATGACCAAGGCTGTGACAGTCCCAGGCCAGGGCTCCTTGCCTGTTAGGACGACACCCCTACAGCCCTCCTTGACAGCAAGTCCCTCCTCCAGACCCGCGGCCTCCCCTGGAGCGATCTCCAGGTCCCCCACCTCCTTGGGATCCCACAAGGCTGTGCTGACACCTGAAGTAACTAAGGTCATAAGCAGGACAGGGGTCCCCCAGCCCACCCAGACCCAGAGTGCTTCAAGTCCCAGCAGCTTCCTAACCATGGCTAGCACAGCAGCAGAGCAGGTTCCCATCAGTCCCCTTGCAACCAGCAGCGTGGAGCTGGAGCTGTCCACAGAGAAGGGCGAAGCGGGGTACAGCCAGCCCACGGGCTTGCCTGCCTCCCCACAGCCACACCCACTCCCCACTGCACTGCCCCGCCCAGCCCAGCATACTGCCACAGCCACCAGGCCTCCAGCTCTGTCCCCAGCTGCCGCCAGCCTGTCAACAGTCACTCATGGGCTGGGAGCCACACCCTTGGTATCCCTTGAATCAACTCGTCCCTCCCAGCTCCTCTCTGGCCTGCCTCCTGACACCAGCCTGCCCCTGGCCAAGGTGGGCACATCTGCCCCAGTGGCCACACCTGGCCCCAAAGACTCTGCCATCACCACTCCTCTCCAGCCACAGGCCACATCACTCGCTTTGGCCACGACTCTGGCTGCTCAGACGTTTAGCCCAGCACTGCCTCTCACTCCAACTGCAGTGGCCCAGACACACCCACCTGCCCACACAGCACCCCTGGCAGCAGGCACAGCTCCAGGCCTGCTGCTGGGAGCCACCTTGCCAACCTCTGGAGCCCTGGCTGTGGCTGAGGGCGTGGCCTCCATGCTGTCTGTTGCCCCGCGAAAGAGCACCACAGGGAAGGTGGCCATCCTGTCCAAGCAAGTGTCTCCACCCACCTCCATCTATGGCTCTGCCCAGGGTGGGCCCACAGAGCTCATGCCTGCTGTGAGCCACCCTCTTGCTCCCTTGGTGACTGAACCCGAGGGACCCCAGGCAGGCACAGCTCTGCCAGTGCCCACATCCTATCCCCTGAGCCCTGTCTCAGCTAGGACAGCCTCCCGAGAGAGCGCGCTGGTTCTGTTGCCTCAGCTGGCTGAGGCCCACGGAACCTCGGCAGGGGCTCACCCCCCAGCAGAGCCTGTGGACAAGGCCACCACAGAAACATCTGGGCGCTCAGCCCCAGCCCAGAGCATCGTGGAGGGTTTGGCAGAGGCCTTGGCAACCACCACTGAGGGCAATGCATCCACCACCTGCGTCGTGAGTGATTTGTCAGGGTTCTGGCCACCTGTATGTGCCCCTTCCCTTTATCCCTTCCCTCTTCCCTGCTAGATGGACTTTTAGTCGCTTTCCTCATTCCTGCCCCAAGCTCCAGGTCCCTGAAAAATTCTCCAGTCTCCCGTTGGCCCCTTATACCATACCAGGTTTCCGCCTTGCCCATCTAGGCCCTGGAGAGCTGATTGGATGGCCTAGTGTGGTGCCCAGGTGACATTGTGGGTATGCTGGTGTGTGCCTTTTGTGCCTGTGTGCCTGTGTGAGACTGCTCTGCTCTGTGCATTTGTGTTCACATGTGTGACATGGCATAAGCGCTCATGCATCTGCATGTGTTCTTGTGTGTGAGATGTGTGGTGTTTGAGACACCCTCATGTGCAGCTTTGTGAGAAACTGCGTGCGTGCATGCACTGGCTTGTGCAAATATGCTAGGGTTTCTGTGAGTGTGAGCTAGTGTGTACACATGCTTGTGTACCCAGACCTCTCAGCAAAGGTCAGGCAGATCTGCAGAGGTCTCAGGGAATCAGTCCCTGACCCCCAAGCTCACACTAAGCACAGTGCCAGGCCCCAGATGGCTTGTTGCTGGGTGGAAGGTGGAGGCATTGTTCCCCAGAGGTCCTCTGCCCTGCTAGGACCTGCATGTGGGAAGGATCTGGTGCCCTCAGGGCTTGCGGGGTGGGGTGGGCTGTGGCTCCTTGATGGGCACTCATACATCCTCCACTCTGTGCCCAGCCAATCGCCGAGCAGGACTGCGTCCGCCACATCTGCCTGGAAGGACAGCTGATCCGTGTGAATCAATCCCAGCACTGTCCCCAGGGCGCTGCTCCCCCTCGCTGTGGGATCCTGGGCCTCGCCGTGCGGGTGGGTGGGGACCGCTGCTGCCCACTCTGGGAGTGCGCCTGTGAGTCATGGGGTCAGCAGAGCCTCCGGCATCCTCACTGTATCCTTACCCAAGCATGACCGCCACCCCTGATCTGTGTGCCCCAGACTCCCCTCCCCCGATCTATGTGCCCCAGCCTCCCCTCCCCCTGATCTGTGTGCCGCAGACTCCCCTCCTGGCCGTGGCTGAGGACTCCTGTGGGAGCCCGAGCTGGCAGATTTCCTATGCTTGGGACCTCTGATCTGTGTGATGCCTCCTCTGAGCCACCTTCCAGACCCCAGGGCTCTGAATCATCCAGGAAGGGGCCCAGGCACCTGCCCCATCTTGCTAGTCTTGGAGGCGTTGGTCTTGGAGGCATCCACCGGTTCTTCTTGTGCTGTGCCCCCTCCCAGGTCGGTGCTCAATCTTCCCAGACCTTAGCTTCGTGACCTTCGATGGAAGCCATGTAGCTCTGTTCAAGGAGGCCATCTACATCCTCAGCCAGAGCCCAGATGAAATGGTCACTGTCCACGTCCTGGACTGCAAAAGTGCCAACCTGGTGCCTGCCCCATGCCTCTCACCCTGCAGGGGACTAGGAACTGGACTAGGATAAGAGGGAGATGGAGCAGTGAGCCAGGGTGGCGAGGACAGATGTGGGAGTTCCCCAGAGCTCCCTCTGTCTCCAGGAGTCTCTTAGAATGGGCAAGGCCTCCCAGGTGATGGCTCCCTGGGAGACTGGGGAAAGAATTGAGTGGAGTACACCACCTCCTGGCCCCAGCCTGTGCCATTCCCAGCTTGTGTCAACTTCCTGCCACGTAGGAGGGATTGCATGAAGTGCAAAGGACCTGGGATGTCACACCAAGGGTGTGGCCCGAGGTCTTGGGTGCTGGCTGCAGGGGATCTCCTACTAGGATGTCCCCATAAGCCAGGTGGAAGCAGGCAGCTTCTTTCTCTTCCCCCCTTCTCTCCTTCCCTCCTTCCCTCCTTCCCTCCTTCCCTCCTTCCTGCCTTCCCTCCTTCCCTCTTTCCCTCCTTTCCTCTTTTCCCCCTTTCCCCTTCCCTCCTTCCCTCCTTCCCTCCTTCCCCCCTTCCCCCCTTTCCCCCTTCCCCCCTTTCCCCCTTCCCCCCT